TTACATACAAATAAATCAGCACTGAAAAAAGGTGCAAATTTAAGTTTGTTCCAACTAAGCAAATCTGACCACAAGCCAGAGACCACTATGATGACACACCAAATGTGTTTAATAATAATAATAATTTATTCAACTTTTATAGCGCTATTCATTACATAAAGAATACTCAAAGCGCTGTAAAGCAACAACAAAAAACAAGCAATTTAAAAACAACATAATTAATCATCATGAGTAGATCGACGGTCAAGAGATTGAAAGGTTGAAAAAGTTAATGGCTTGATTGAGGTCAGCGGACGGAGGAGGTGGTCAAAGGGGAGAGCCGGGAACAGGCAGACAGCATGTTGCCATCGCATTGTCTCGCCATCCACGCCGTCTGTCACTGTGGTTTCGTAGTAGTCCGATGAAGTTAGAGTTCCGTACTAGCCACTGGACTAGAAGCTAGCTATCTAGCTGGATCCTTTTTGTCTTCTACTAATGCCCCTTAAAAGGGGAAAGTAATCCATATGTAACTGAAAGTAATCAGATTACATTACTGAGTTTGGGTAATCCAAAAGTTATGTTACTGATTGCAATTTTGGACAGGTAACTAATAACGGTAACAGATTACATTTAGAAAGTAACCTACCCAACCCTGCTTAGGATGTGAGTGACAGATTGTATCCCAGCCATACTGCATTTGTAAACAAACAATTAGAGCTATTTTGGAAATGCAGGCCTAATACCTGGACCTGTTTATCTTCAGGGGAGCTAACATTTTCAGTAAAAACCTGTTATGCATACACAACAGAAAGGGATATAGTTTAACATTCTAGTGATATAGCTATGCAGTGTGTTGTCCCCAGCTTTAATTACAAAAATTTAGTAAAAGGACAGTAACCTACCAATGTTTGTAGCCTACTAGGCCCATGGCTAGCCAACGTTACCGTTACTCCTTAAGGTCCAAGGACCTTATTATGATATTTTCAGAGGTAGACTCAAATACTCTTATTTAAACGTGAAACGATTCTCAATTGCGATACGGTTCTAAAAACATAAAGCCCTTTACTTTCATTAACATAATTTCACAAATGCAAAATACACACTTACTGTACACTGTTTCAACCGGCTTTATCACAGTTGCAGACGACAGTATTGTTCAGCTACAACTTTTCTGGCGGCCTTCTTCCGTTACACACAGGTGTTCGGAGCATGCTAGATAGCTAATTAGCACAAGTGGTCCCTCTGTCTTCCGTAAACACATGCAGTAACATGGAGATATGGCCATGTGGGAACACCAACCCCATACAAAGTATTCAGACCCCTTGACTTTTACCACATTTTGTTACGTTACAGCCTTATTCTAAAATGGATTGAATACATAAAAATCCTCATCAATCTACACACAATACCCCATAATGACAAAGTGAAAACCGGTTTTCAGACATTTTTGCACATGTATTAAAAATAAAAAACATAAATAATTTATTTACATTAGTATTCAGACCCTTTGCTATGAGACTCGAAATTGAGCTCAGGTACATCCTGTTTCCATTGATCATCCTTGAGATGTTTCTATTCAATTGATTGGACATGATTTGGAAAGGCACACATCTGTCTATATAAGGTCCCACAGTTGACAGTGCATGTCAGAGCAAAAACCAAGCCATGAGGTCGAAGGAATTGTCCGTAGAGCTCAGAGACAGGATTGTGTAAAGGCACAGATCTGGGGAAGGGTACCAAAAAATTTCTGCAACATTGAAGGTCCCCAAGACTACAGTGGCCTCCGTCATTCTTAAATGGATGAAGTTTTGAACCACCAAGACTCTTCCTAGAGCTGGCCGCCCGGCCAAACTGATCAATCCGGGGAGAAGGGCCTTGGTCAGGGAGGTGACCAAGAACCCGATGGTCACTCTGACAGAGCTCCAGAGTTCCTCTGTGGAGATGGGAGAACCTTGCAGAAGGACAACCATCTCTGCAGCACTCCACCAATCAGGCCTTTATGGTAGTGGCCAGACGGAAGCCACTCCTGAGTAAAAGGCACATGACAGCACGCTTGGAGTTTGCCAAAAGGCACCTAAAGGACTCTCAGACTATGAAAAACAAGATTCTCTGGTCTGATGAAACCAAGATTGAATTATTTGGCCTGAATGCCAAGCGTCACATCTGGAGGAAACCTGGCACCATCCCTACGGTGAAGCATGGTGGTGGCAGCATCATGCTGTGGGGATGTTTTTCAGCGGCAGGGCCTGGGAGACTAGTCAGGATCGAGGGAAAGATGAACGGAGCAAAGTACAGAGCGATCCTTGATGAAAACCTGCTCTAGAGACCTCAGGACCTCAGACTGGGGCGAAGGTTCACCTTCCAACAGGAGAACGACCCTAAGCACACAGCCAAGACTACGCAGGAGTGGCTTCGGGACAAGTCTCTGAATGTCCTTGAGTGGCCCAGCCAGAGCCCAGACTTGAACCCGATCTAACATCTCTGGAGAGACCTGAAAATAGCTGTGCAGTGACGCTCCCCATCCAACCTGACAGAGCTTGAGAGGATCTGCAGAGAAGAATGGGAGAAACTCCACAAATACAGGTGTGTCAAGCTTGTAGGGTCATACCCAAGAAGACTGGAGGCTGTATTCGCTGTCAAAGGTGCTTCAACAAAGTACTGAGTAAAGGGTCTGAATACTTATGTAAATGTGATATTTATGTTTTTTTACTTTTAATAAATTAGCAAAAATGTCTAAAAACCAGTTTTTGCTTTGTCATTATGGGGTATTGTGTGTAGATCGATGAGGGGAAAAAACTATGTAATCCATTTTAGAATAAGGCTGTAACATAACAAAATGTGGAAAAAGTCAAGGGTTCTGAATACTTTCAGAATGCACTGTATATGGTGTATCAATTTAATGTTTTGTTTTTTGAGAATTGTTTCTCACTGATATGGAAGATAAGGTTTTTATGCTTCCAAACCCATAAGCAAGCAATGCGTGTTAATGTTCAGAGCACTGGGGCTCTTAAAACTCGCCTTCCCCAATGAATCTTAATGTAATGGAACTGAGTCATGATCAAGGGCTAGGCCCATGGCTAGTTCACAGCTGGCCTGTTGTTTGCTGTCTTCTCTTGGTCTGTTCTGTTGGTCTGTTTCTCTAAGACATTTCAATTTTATGTAGACCTAGATTTCATAGTCCATAAATAAGGTTTTGAATTGTATTTTACCCAAGTTCAAATTCTGTTCTATTCTGTAGTTACCCACTAATAGGAAACCGATTCCATTATTTGAACTTAAGTACATTTCCCAGCCAAACCCATGATTGGTGTAGATTCGATCTGCTAAACTTTTCACTCACTTCGTGAGAAAGTACAGAATGTCTGGTACACTGCGATGACGAAGGTTCCATCTCAGACATGTTACACCCCAAGAAATAGGTATTTGTGATAGCATCGTCTGCTATGAGAAGTGTAAACAGACTAATTTAAATTACGTACGTTGTATATCTATATAAAAACAAGTGTTGTCTATAAATGATAATATAAATGTTATTGATAAACCGCTTTACCTGTAGATACAGTTTCCATAGCAACGGGAGGCCTTTTCCCATCGTCCTCAAATTGATGGAATTGATCCAGGTCACTCGTCTCCTCCCTGGTTTTCGGTTTAAAATCTTCACGTAGCTCACCAAACCGGGGTGGGGTGCTTCCAAACAGGCCATTTCTTTCATAATCGTCCCCAAACCATTTCCCTTCCGAACCTAGTTCGTCACTGGGCTTCGAAGACATGCTTTTAGGGAGAGGTTGCGCTAGAGATACAGGCACAAGCTATAAGGCAGGCTACACAATGGATAGTGGGTTGGTCAAACGAATAAAACAGGAAAATATGCTATGAAGGCCGACTGCCTTTACAAAGATATACTTAAATTGTAAAATTCTAATGGCTGCGCGGTCCAGTCCGAGAGCACAAGTGAGCGAGGTTGATTGTTTTAGTTCAGCGCTTCAAAGCTGACGTCATGGCATTAGCTATGTTGGTACTTATTTAGGGCAGAGTAACATTCTGTTAACTGTTTCAGCATAACTAATATAAAAGTGTTTGAATATACAGTTGAAGTCAATGCAGTATGTTTCCAAGAGTACGCCATAAATAAAATAAACTTCAGCATATTGAAGCATCTTTGAAGCGTGTCATGTTTGAAATGCTTAAGACCATATCACAATAATAACGCAAATTGTAATATTGCTGTACCATGTTATGTTTCAACATACGACACTGTTGTATTTTTATTTTTGTTAAAAAATTTCACGTTAGTAGATGCAAGTAATTTCACTCGTGCAAATATCCAGTTGAGGACCATTTCTTTGTTCTGTTCATGCCAGTTTGTGCTCAAATGAATTGCATTGTAGCGTCCTCGTGTGGTGATGATCAAAAGTACAAAGAAAAAGTTAAGATGACTCCTGAGCAACGGGGAAGCACTTCCCTGGATACGGGTTGATGACAAACCCTGCTGGGGCATGCTAGCTACAGGTGCACAATGTCTATCATATAAACACCCTAAAATTATATTTTTGTTTTCATGAAGACAATAGCAGCAATATCAGATGTCCAAAACTGGTATGACGTTAACTTAGTGGTCTGAGCAGACAGTGTCAGTGACAGTGAACTCTTGTGCAGGCTGCAACTTCGAATGTAAGTAAATGTGCATTAGCTGACGTTACAGTTAGCTAGCAGGCTAACGACGTTAGCTTAGCTAGAGCTAACTAGTAAAATAATTATTGAGTGACACAAATCACGTTTTCTTGCTATTTATACTTATATTAAATGTTTTTTTTTAATCTCTTATCTGTCCTCAAATTTTAGCAAACGTTAGATTTAATGACTTTTTTCAGATGCTTGTTACTGATAGCTAACATTACCCCCAGACAACACCCTCCAGCCCCCAAGACAAGCTAAGTTTAGCAATGTTCCTTATTTGAGCATTTAATTTTTTGTTATACATGACATGATCAACAATTGCTTATATTTCAGCACAGAAAAACATGATACAGAGTGAAAAGCAAAGACATAATGGTGACGAGGAGGTTGTCAAAGAACTGGTGAGTGTAATTTTGTCATAAATGTCTTGTGTCAACCAGATACTTATGATTAAAAATAGTATCATTTTCTGTTTGGCTTGTGGAGACAACCTTTTTTTGTACCTCAACAGTGCATTGCCAATGGGGTGTCTTATGAGAAGATACCCCAGGAAGGTAGCAGCATCACAGCCCTGGAGGTGTTTTTCTCGGGTTATCCGCGTATGGTTGGGCTCTCCCTTTTCCCAAGGCTGTGCCAGCTCACATTGGTAGGCCAGAGTATCAGTCACATCAAGGGCCTTGAGTCATGCCCCCTGCTTCGGGAGCTCTGGGTGGTGGAATGTCAGCTGACAGTAAGATCCAGGTTTCTCTTCGTGCTGACATCTTGGAGATGTGTGTGTAGAGTTTTCATCTAAAGAGTATCTAAAACAGAATTATATTGACTATCTTTGATTTCTCGATTCAGAATAGACTGCAAAATGTCTGCAAAATAACTGTCATCAAGCTATGATTTGCATTATTATCTTTAATACCAACAATAATATTTTGTGGGGTATTTATTTTCATTATTGTAGGACATTTCTGGACTTCAGAATTGCCATCAGTTACAGAAGCTGTACATCTATGACAATCAGATCAGTAAGATTGAGAATTTGGAGTCACTTGTCAATCTACAGGTGCTGTGGCTTAACAACAACTTCATCACTCACATAGAGGTATGGATGCTTTTCTGTGTCGTGTAAAGTACCTCATAATCTGTATAGATTGTTCTTTTTTAAATCACCTTTTTTTTAGATGTCTCATCCTTTCTTCATACCTGTTTAAAGGGATTGAACACGCTTCAAAAGCTGAGAGAGCTGAATCTAGCTGACAATAACATTGAAAAGATAGGTGGGTTGAAGGTTAATCTCCAACGCTATAAACTTGACAGATTACATCTTTGATTTACTTATAATGATAATTATTCAATCTGTTTCACAGGACACAGTCTTGATCCTAATATCAGCATTGAAAATCTGAATTTATCTGGGAACAAGATCAGCTCTTTTAAGGTAAGAAAAAACCCCATTAACTTTTCAAATAATGAAAGGTTTTAATTCTGCACCTTCTCAATCTGATATCTGACTACTACCTTTGCATATGGTCATTTACAGGCTTACTTCTCAGTCAAATATCTTGACAGCCTAATCTATAGTAGATTCTGTATACAGTGCATTCGGAAAGTATTCAGACCCCTTGACTTTTTCCACATTTTGTTACGTTACAGCCTTATTCTAAAATTGATTAAATTGTTTTTTCCCCTCATCAATCTATACACAATACCCCATAATGACAAAGCAAAAACAGATTTTTAGACATTTCTGCAAATGTATTAAAAATAAAACAACGGAAATATCACATTTACATAAGTATTCAGACCCTTTACTCAGTACTTTGTTGAAGCACCTTTGGCAGTGATTACAGCCTTGATTCTTCTTGAGTATGATGCTAAAAGCTTGGCACACCTGTATTTGGGGAGTTTCTCCCATTCTTCTCTGCAGACCCTCTCAAGCTCTGTCAGGTTGGATGGGGAGCGTCGCTGCACAGCTATTTTCAGGTCTCTCCAGAGATGTTAGATCGGGTTCAAGTCCTGGCCACTCAAGGACATTCAGAGACTTGTCCCGAAGCCACTCCTGCGTAGTCTTGGCTGTGTGCTTAGGGTCGTTGTCCTGTTGTAAGGTGAACCTTCACCCCAGTTTGAGGTCCTGAGCGCTCTGGAGAAGGTTTTCATCAAGGATCTTTCCCTCGATCCTGACTAGTCTCCCTGTCCCTGCCACTGAAAAACATCCCCACAGCATGATGCTGCCACAATAATGCTTCACCGTAGGGATGGTGCCAGGTTTCCTCCAGACGTGACGCTTGGCATTCAAGCCAAAGAGTTCAATCTTGGTTTCATCAGACCAGAGAATGTTGTTTCTCATGGTCAGAGTCCTTTACGTGCCTTTTGGCAAACTCCAAGCGGGCTGTCATGTGCCTTTTACTGAAGAGTGGCTTCCGTCTGGCCACTCTACCATAAAGGCCTGATTGGTGGACTGCTGCAGAGATGGTTGTCCTTCTGGGAGGTTCTCCCATCTCCACAGAGGAACTCTAGAGCTCTGTCAGAGTGACCATCAGGTTCTTGGTCACCTCCCAGACCAAGGCCCTTCTCCCCCGATTGCTCAGTTTGGCCGGGCGGCCAGCTCTAGGAAGAGTCTTGGTGGTCCCAAACTTTTTCCATTTAAGAATGATGGAGGCCACTGTGTTCTTGGGGACCTTCAATGCTGCAGAAATTATTTCGTACCCTTCCCCAGATCTGTGCCTCGACACAATCCTGTCTCGGAGCTCTACGGACAATTCCTTCGACCTCATGGCTTGGTTTTTGCTCTGACATGCACTGTCAACTGTGGGACCTTATATAGACAGGTGTGTGCCTTTCCAAATCATGTCCAATCAATTTTTTTTTTTTACCACAGGTGGACTCCCAATTAAGTTGTAGAAACATCTCAAGGATGATCAATGGAAACAGAATGCACCTGAGTTCAACTTCGTGTCTCGTAGCAAAGGGTCTGAATACTGTATTTTATTTTTAATACATTTGCAACAACCTGTTTTCACTTTGTCATTATAGGGTATTTAAAATGTGGAAAAAGTCAAGAGGTCTGAATACTTCCCGAAGGCACTGTATACAGTATCCAAACCATTAGTAGGGTTGAAGCCAATCAGGGTTGTGCATGCTTCAATTGTCCCTCTTAAGCATCAACATCATGTTATCGTGGTGTATAACAGGAGCTGACCCTCCTGGCCCCATTGCCCTCTCTGAGAGAGTTGGGACTGAAGGACCCCCAGTCAAGTCCCACCCCAGTATGTCTGCTGTGTAACTATGCCACCCACGTGCTCTACCACATGCCAGGCCTCCAGCGGCTTGACACCTACGACGTCTCCAGCAAGCATTTGAAGGACGCTGCTGAGGTACAGGTCAACAGTCCCAAGGGTCAGCTTTCGTAACTGCTGTCACTGTGCGATCTCCAGGGCTCTGATAGCATAGAATTAGCAATTAGAATACTAGAATGGACATTAATTATCTTATGACAGTATAAAAGATCAGCCATTTTGGTAAAGAAGTTAGATTTCTCCTTGACTAAAATGGCTGCCATTATCATAAGATTCAGGAACTTTGAGGGTTGATGACATAGTCATTCTAATAATTTAATAGGATCTCTATGTCTGATACTCTCTACTCCTGAGAGATACCAGCATTTGTTTAATGAGTCATCCCTGAACTCTGATGATGGATGTATTTTTCCAGTGCTGCTATTTTTCTAATCTTGTAATTACAGTCTAATGAACTATGCTATATAAATAAAGGGGTTCCATTGCATACAGTACATTGTAACATCTGTTCATTCCAGTCCACTGTGATGAAGAAGATGATGTACTACAACATGCGTGTGCGGACAGCCCAGAGGAACCTGGCAGAGACCCAGGCCAATCTGCTGGAGAACAAGAGGAATCTCTTACAGCTGCCAGAGGACCGCATCAGAGCTCTCAATTATGCCCTCAAAAACGTCAGTACAACACTATGCCCTCAACAATGGACTTTTGATGCATATGTCATACATTTACAGTGGTGCTTAATATGACTGTTGTGTTGGTGTCTTGAGCAGCTGGAGTGTGAGCTGTCGGAGGTGCAGGCCCTGTGCAGGAAGTCGGCCCGTACCTGGGAGGATGGACTGTCACCGCTGAGTGAGGGCTCAGGGGACCGCAGTGACACCCCTGCTGACATCACCCGCGACCCCGGCCTGGAACACAAGATCCTCTCCAAGCTGGACACCCTGAAGGAAAGGTTGCAATTGTGGAACAGGAGGCTGGAGGAGTGAGTTCATATACATGAATAATGGATTAGACCTCCAAGAGAGATTCTTTGAGTTTAGAGGGGCTTAATACAATCTCATTTGGCATTGTTGTTTATATGTAAGTTTTCTATTGGCACTAAGATGATGAAGTGTGAAAAGTAGAGTGTTTTTATCTTGTTTTTGTAGGATTGAGTCCTGGTACCAGCGGGACTTGGCCCAAGCCACCAACAGGAACGAGATGATGGTCCACTTTCTGCTAATGGAGCTTGAGACAGTGGGGAATATTCGGTTTGAAGAGGGCTGCTCCACAGACCCCTGGTACAAATGATCTCCTTTTATATAACAGTGACATTAGCCAGGGTAACTGCAGGGAAATGACTTGTGTGGTCATATAGTATTAGATAATGTAATGATATGTGTTATCCCAGTTTTCTGCGGACTGAGTTTACCTCGTTTGTGTAGGGGATTTGTGTAGGTGATTTGTGTAGGTGATTTGTGTAGGTGATTTGTGAAGGTGATTTGTGTAAGTGATTTGTGTAGGTGATTTGCAGCATTTAGCTACTGAGTCCACTGTTTTCGCTCTCCTCCCAAAAGGTTCACTTCCTGTTATGACCTCCTGCTGTCCCGGTTCTGTGCGTGGGACTACAAGGCTCAGGGCATCACTGGCATCAAGATCAACAGTATCATCCGCATCCATAACCGTGCGCTACGGCTTCGCTTCGAGGACAAGCTTCATACCCTGTTGGCCAGCGAGGAGTCGACGATGTTCTCACAGTGAGTGTCCATGATGAGACTGTGAAATCTTAAAATGGCACCTCTCTCTTCTACACGCAGCGTTCCTTTTCTCTGTGATATTCACCTCCGCTCCTCAGTATTATGCCTATGTCTAATATTACACAGAAATAGTTGAACATTTATGTTTTTTGGTAACAGACCATGTAAACTGCAATATTTTGACTGTATTTACATATGTCTGACTGCAGTTCCATCTGTGCAGGAATTACAAACGCTGGCTGGAGTACCTGTTCTATGTGTCTGATCCTGAAAGAACCAGTGACAAGAATGAGATGTTGCACATTCCAGAGGACGGCTTTAAAACAGCAGATATGTATAAGGTACACATATTGCTTATTTAGGCTGTACACTATGCCTGAGATTGTGTCATTGTTGTAGTTCTTGACACTGTCATGTGTCTTGTGTCTGTGTTAGGCCCTGGGCAGAGAGAGAGCTGTACCATTGTCTAACAGCCTGAGTGTGACGGACAGGCCTAGGATTGAGTACACACAGAGACAGGCCAACCAAAGCACCTCCAAGCAGAGCATAGACCCTCTCCTTTTCAGACACGCTCTATATGGTCCTATTTCATCCTTTCGCACACTTCAATTACTTTGTATTGCTAATGAAACCTTGAGGATAAAACCAGTAAAAAAATGTAAATGTACAAATTATATTTGCTTGCTTTTAATGAACCTGTGTCAGAGAAACTGAAATTATTCTAACTGTCCTCCTGTTTCAAGGTCAGGTCATTGTGTCCAAAGTGTTCCTGGGCCGCAGCTTCCCCATCCGTGAAGGGGATTCAGTGGATGCCCTCAACTACCCCAAAGCTCACTCTGTTTACCGCAATGTGAGCCCAGAGCAGGTCCATAAGACAAATGCAGGTAATGTCATGTGAAATATCACAACTGTTACTTTTCAGAACAACCAGTTTTTTACTGGTGACAGTGGAATGGAAACAACCAGCAAAAGTCAACATTCTTCTATTCCATCCTCCTGTTGAACAACCTGAGACTTCTATCCATATAGAGAGGCCTTGCTCCTCCAAGATCCACAGCGGCTGTGACTGCAGTCTGAGACAGAGTCAGTGGTTTGTATTTGACCATGAGCTTGTCCTGCCGGAGTACCTCATCGACTTTGAGTATATCACGCAGGTAGGAAAAAGTATACCCTGTTTGTCTTTCGATGTTCCAATTTTTGTAAACCCACAAAACCAGGTGTTGATATTCACCAACTGTTTGTCCTCTCCACTATGATGTTCCCTCCTCTCAGGACCGAGCCCAGCCTGTGTTCCCAGAGCCCAGCAGCAGAGGCACAGACGACCCCACTCCCAACGATATCAACCTGGACAAGGAGACTCTAAACATGGAGCCCATGCTCAAACCGCGGCCCAAGATGCTGAGCCTGGACGAGAAGACTTTACTCAATGTAGCCAGGGCCAACGTCCTCAGTCAGATTACAGTAAGGGTTCAGGCCTCTGAGTGAGGGACTAACAGATAATGTTACCTTAGCCCCACTAGGTTTAGCACTGATCTCCCCTCTGTACTGTGCCGGTGCCCCACCTTCTAATTTCTTCTTCCCTGGTCAAAGGTGTTGAATCTCCATGGCAACAGCCTGAGTAAGTTGAAGGAGATCTCTCGACTGACAGCCCTGCGCCGCCTGACTATCAGCTTCAACGAGTTCACACAACTAGACGACATCTCCCACATGGTGCGTTCTGACGGGTGGGGCGTTTAGGTCAACCAATCTTCATGAATCATTATCAACTTGGAGTCCTACATACAGTAAATATGTTTCTCTGTGTTCCTCCAGCCCAACCTGGAGTTTGTGGACGCCAGCTACAACCACCTGCTGACCCTGGAGGGGCTGAGGGGGCTGGGGCGGCTCAATCAGCTGGACCTGCGCTGGAACCAGCTGACCCGCGCTAGGGAGGAGACGGCTGTGCTCCGGAAACATGCCCCCAACCTGCTGAGACTGGACACCCGCCACAACCCCTGGCATAGGGTAAAACCACACACACTAACACCAGCTTTAACATGGATCTAGTCTAGTGTCCATATAGTAAGACCATAAGACACTGCTGATGAAGGTGATGTGTTTGTCCCAGCCCGAGGCGGTAAGGATGACTGTTCTGGGACGTCTGATTAACCTTACACACCTGGATGACATGCTGGTGACAGAGGAAGAGGCAGGCGCTGCTGTTCAGATGGCTGCAGGTTCCAGAATCAACCAGGTAAGAGTTAGACAAGACAATCACTCTTCTTAGTTCATGATTTGCCAGATTAGGTTGAATACTTTAATGTAAGCGGGCTACCTTTGCTGTTGCATGCTGCGTGAGAAAGTTTGGTCTACCTTCTGTGTTGAGAGTAGTAATTCCTCAGTCTGATTCACACTGTGGCTACAGGCATCTCTACTGGCCCACTCCCGGACGGACAGTGAGCGTCCCCGCAGTCTCAGCCTGCTTTCTGCAGCCCAGCTCCTGGATCAACTCAGCCCCTTGCCCTGGGACATCACTGGAGACCTAGAGCCAGGCTGGACCACCAAGGTGAAACAAATACTAACATACACAATACTGGAGTCCAGGAACAATAAAGATGTATGCGTTTCAGCTTGTAGTTTATGGATTCTCTCCAGGTGCTTCATCTGCGGTACAAGTGCAGTCTGTTTACTTAACAGTGAACTCTGAACTCTGAGCAGATCACAGCCCTTAACCTTGACAGCCAGAGGCTCTCCAGGCTCACCAACCTGGACAAACTGGTCAACCTGCGCTGGGCCTCCTTCAATGACAACGACATCTCTAAAGTGGAGGGTCTGGACAACTGCCAGCATCTAGAGGAGCTGTCCCTCAATGACAACTGCATCTCTAGGCTAGACGGTCAGTCCTAATCTCAATGGTCGCCACATGACAAATGATGAAGTGTTGTCATATATCTTTTAACACAATAGAAAACCCTTGGCACTCTTGGTTCAGAATGCACTAGGTCTATTCAAGGAAGAGAAAATAATTTGGCATTGACAAGGGAATCATGTCCATCAAAGATGTATGAGATATCCCTCCCTATCTTTGTCTTCTCAGGTGTGTCCAAACTGCACCAGCTCACTAAGCTCAGTGTGAATGGGAACCAGCTGTCCTGTCTGGACGGCACTGTCCTGGACCGGCTGCCCAACCTCCACTTCCTGTCTGTGGAGAACAACTGCATTGGCTCCCTGTACGGGGTGCATAGGGCCCGCTCACTATTCGAGCTGTACATAGGCAACAACATCATCACCACCACACGAGACATCTACCACCTGAAGGTGAGCTGACCTCACACAGCCAAGCATGGAAAGCTGTTTTTTATACACTGTTACTAATAGTCAATGTGGAAATTAAAATAAAGTATGATTATTGTTTTTGACCTTTTATTTCTAGGCTTTGACAAACTTAATCATTCTGGATCTGTATGGTAATCCTTTAGTGGAGAAAGTGGAAAACTACAGGATTTATGTGGTGTTCCACTTACCCTCTCTAAAGGCACTGGATGGGGTTGCAGTGGTATGTTTACGTCATAATCAAATAGAGCTATTCGTTTTAGAGATACATAAACGTTTGCTGAATTGAGATGAAACAGAAGTGACGTCATTGTGATCCACAGGAAATGACGGAGTGTGAGAATGCCAAGGATGTGTTTGGTGGACGCCTGACCCCTGACATGGTGGCAGAGAAACTGGGACACTCCAACTACTCCGACATCGTTGATCTCAACCTGCAATCCAGTGCCATCAGGTCATTGACCATAGTGTACTGTGTAGGAGTACATCACAGTATTTCAGTCACCTTTTAGATGAGTAGAAGAGACGGTAAAAGAAAGAGTGAGTGTGTATAAACTGTTCCCTCTCTCCCCAGTATGGTGGACCTGGCCCCAGCAGACCTGTTCCAGAACATGCGCAGTGTCAACCTGGAGCACAACAACCTCACCTCCTTCAGTGGCCTTGTCTACCTGCCCAACATCAAGGTGGGCCTGCCAAGTGATTGTTACCAACCGGCCAGACTTTTCCGACCATTCTAAAATGTAATCTGTGTCATATATTTTCTATTTATCAGTTGCACTGTCAGGTTTTTTAAACCATCAACAATAAACATTTTCTTATTTTCTTCCATGTAGGCATTATGTCTGAACTATAACCACATAGAATCCATCCTGCCCAGGCAGAAGGCCCAGGCCCCCCTGACTAACAGACAGATTCTCTACCACAAGGTGAACTCCAGTGGCTACGGCCAGCAGGGCTCATCAAAAGGCAGCAGGTACCAGCAGTACAGATAAAAGTCTATTATTTTAACATGATATTAAAATGTATTACTTTTTAAACCTAGTTTGTGAGATGGAAATGTACAATTCATGAATAGCTTTAAACCTTTCTGTCTTCTCAGTATACGGTGTGGTTGGCAAAGGACTCATTTCATGTCTTTGTTGCAATAGAGTATATTGTTCTACTTTCAGCCACTTGGGGGCAGCACGAACCTGTTGACGTGACAAAGCTTTTAGGCTTTTATTAGCTGCTCTTAGAAAATCACAAATCTCCCTTTTCACTGTTACTATTGAAAAAGACCAGAGGAGAGTTTACATAAAGTAAAAGGTTTCAAATGTGAAGGGGGTTGGGGGGGGTGGGGGGGGTCAGGCTTTTGTGTGGTCTGCCTGACTGTGTTTGCCTTGAGTTGCTGTGCACCTGTGAGGTCTGGCCTTCTAAATGAGGCACTGGGGAGAGAAGGTGCATTCAGTCAGAGAGGCAGCTAACGCTCAGAGTTCCCATTCTGTCCCTCTCTTTCAGGGAAGTGGGCCCTGCAGACAGCCTGGAGCCACTAATGGGCAGCCTGGAGGTGCTGCATTTAAGCCACAATGGCATCTCCAATATGGCCAATCTGCAGCTCAGCAGGCTCACCAATCTCAAAGCACTCTTCCTCCAAGGTACAGTAACAGCTTCCTTCAGGTTTCAAAGCTGACGAAAAGCACAGCTCAGTCACAGACAAGGCTCTCTCAGACCTGTCCAGGTGGAGATGAGGCAACAAGAATAGAAACTAAATGGGAATGGCAATGAGTCACGGGAAAACAGTGCCTTTTTCTGTCTGCCATTGTTTGCATTTGATTATTGTTTTCTTCAGTTGGGTGACTGTCTGACCCTAATCCCACCTTGGGTGTCGGTTTATAAACCTGTCGAGACAGCTTTGTACGCACCACTATACACACGGATTCAGAGCAGAAGATGCACCTTTTCCAGTTCCACTTTAAAGTGGCAATCTGTAGTTGCTACATACATTTTTGTACTTTTATATATATGCCCATTGATTCTTGAAGAATATAACTTATAAATGCCTCATGAGCTTGGTTCAACTGTTGTTACCCATCAGAACCCACAATATAAGCTTGTTTTATTCCATTGTTTGTAAACAATGAAATTGTAAACAAACACTGTATAGCCTCAAAATATGTTTAAAACTATTATTTTGATCTCATGGATGGTCAGTCCCATCGATAGCTCTGTCTATGAATTTGAGAGTGGTTACATTTCTCAAGCCCCATCCCTCAGCTGTTTACCAAAAACAGGTAGCCGCTGTGTTGTTGTTTCAACTGCAGATTTCCCCTTTAAGTATCTGAGTGTATTTCAGAGTGTATGATTGAAATTCACACAGTTGTAATTTGCAATGATGCAGCCCGGTCAAATCATATCAGTAACAGGGGTAGCTGTAGTCATGTAATTACCTACTGATTTCATATCTTACCTCCTCTCAGGTAATGAGATCAGCCAGGTGGAGGGCTTGGAGGGGCTGCACCGGCTCCGGGAGCTGGTCTTGGACCGGAACCGGATCAAGGCCCTGGGGGAGAACTCCTTTTTTGGTCAGGTTTTCCTGCTGGAGCTGCACCTGGCAGAGAACCGCCTCCGGGAACTTAACCACCTCCAACCCCTTACTGAGCTGAGGAGGCTGTTCCTGGGCATGAACAAACTACAGGTACTCCTCCTCCAGCAGTCCTCCAGTGTCCTGCAACTGCAAGTCATTACCCTTTCTGGCAATACTGAGCCATTCATATGCATTCATATACTGTAATGAGGAATTCATTCATTCACAGTGTGGAAATGTCCACCAAGTTCAAAGTCTGTACTGCAGTTACTGAATTATGGTGATGCACTCATAACGTGCAAAGCATTTGGCGTGTAAAATGTGTTTTATTTTGATCTACAGTGTATGCAAACAAGGGGGTGGAAATATAGTGCCATAATTATAGATTGTTACCACCCCACTGTGGCGTGTGTGTGTGGGGTAGCTAGTATTAAGGAGAATCAACATTGATTGAAGGTCAGGGTTATACGTATGAGGACAGAGAGGAACAATCAAGGCAACGTGTAATCAGGTTCTCAGCCTACATCTCATTCTCACCCCAGGCGGGTGATTTGCGCTTTGTCCCTAGTTTTTTCCACTTTGCTTCTTTTTCTTCCTTAATCTTTTCATGTTTTCAATTAAGACATGAAAACGCAGCAATCATCCCCAACAAACCACCCTTCACAATGGAGGTCTGTGTGAGTCACAGCCCGGCTCAGTCACATTCCGTGGGGGAGAGAGACGCCCCCGCTCCCCTTTAGCATGCCCAAACTCTCATGAGATTAATGAGAGATCACACATGTAATCTCTCCCATGAGCTGCCCCCCTCCACTTTCACAGCTTCAAAATTTGGATGAGGTTTGGCCCTAATGGATTGGGGGGGTTTTAAGTAGGTAGGACATACAGTATAATACAGTGAGGAAAAAAAAGTATTTAGTCAGCCACCAATTATGCAAGTTTTCCCACTTAAAAAGATGAGAGAGGCCTGTAATTTTCATCACAGGTACACGTCAACTATGACAGACAAAATGAGGAGAAAAAAATCCTGAAAATCACATTGTAGGGTTTTTAATGAATTTATTTGCAAATTATGGTGGAAAATAAGTATTTGGTCAATAACAAAAGTTTCTCAATACTTTGTTATATACCCTTTGTTGGCAATGACACAGGTCAAACGTTTTCTGTAAGTCTTCACAAGGTTCTCACACACTGTTGCTGGTATTTTGGCCCATTCCTCCATGCAGATCTCCTCTAGAGCAGTGATGTTTTGGGGCTGTCGCTGGGCAACACAGACTTTCAACTCCCTCCAAAGATTTTCTATGGGGTTGAGATCTGGAGACTGGCTAGGCCACTCCAGGACCTTGAAATGCTTCTTACGAAGCCACTCCTTCGTTGCCCGGGCGGTGTGTTTGGGATCATTGTCATGCTGAAAGACCCAGCCACGTTTCATCTTCAATGCCCTTGCTGATGGAAGGAGGTTTTCACTCAAAATCTCACGATACATGGCCCCATTCATTCTTTCCTTTACACGGATCAGTCGTCCTGGTCCCTTTGCAGAAAAACAGTCCCAAAGCATGATGTTTCCACCCCCATGCTTCACAGTAGGTATGGTGTTCTTTGGATGCAACTCAGCATTCTTTGTCCTCCAAACACGACGAGTTGAGTTTTTACCAAAAAGTTCTATTTTGGTTTCATCTGACCATATGACATTCTCCCAATCCTCTTCTGGATCATCCAAATGCACTCTAGCAAACTTCAGACGGGCCTGGACATGTACTGGCTTAAGCAGGGGGACACGTCTGGCACTGCAGGATTTGAGTCCCTGGCGGCGTAGTGTGTTACTGATGGTAGGCTTTGTTACTTTGGTCCCAGCTCTCTGCAGGTCATTCACTAGGTCCCCCCGTGTGGTTCTGGGATTTTTGCTCACCGTTCTTGTGATCATTTTGACCCCACGGGGTGAGATCTTGCGTGGAGCCCCAGATCGAGGGAGATTATCAGTGGTCTTGTATGTCTTCCATTTCCTAATAATTGCTCCCACAGTTGATTTCTTCAAACCAAGCTGCTTACCTATTGCAGATTCAGTCTTCCCAGCCTGGTGCAGGTCTACAATTTTGTTTCTGGTGTCCTTTGACAGCTCTTTGGTCTTGGCCATAGTGGAGTTTGGAGTGTGACTGTTTGAGGTTGTGGACAGGTGTCTTTTATACTGATAACAAGTTCAAACAGGTGCCATTAATACAGGTAACGAGTGGAGGACAGAGGAGCCTCTTAAAGAAGAAGTTACAGGTCTGTGAGAGCCAGAAATCTTGCTTGTTTGTAGGTGACCAAATACTTATTTTCCACCATAATTTGCAAATAAATTCATTAAAAATCCTACAATGTGATTTTCAGGATTTTTTTTTCTCATTTTGTCTGTCATAGTTGACGTGTACCTATGATGAAAATTACAGGCCTCTCTCATCTTTTTAAGTGCGAGAACTTGCACAATTGGTGGCTGACTAAATACTTTTTTTCCCCACTGTATGTCTTATCTCTCCTTTCTATTCCCTGTAGGACATCTCAGAGCTGGACAAGCTATAAGTCCTTCCCTCCCTGATTGAGCTGTCAGTTGTAGGGAATCCTGTGAGTATCTTCTTTTTTTTTTTACCAGTGTCGGTTACAACCTTGTATGTCTACTGGAAGCTACAATTACTTCAATCAAGCAAGAGCTCAGTGAATAGTTTTACCCCCATGACAGTATGAAAATGGTCAACTTACTACTTCGCCAGGATTTCAGTGTGTGTTCATTTTGACTGAAATGCCCCTGAGTGCAACACTCAGTGCAACTCTGTAGTTCTAAATTAAGCGATTACATGATGGACCGTCTGCTGTGCCTCAAACTGGCCGGCATCAGAGACAAATCCGCTGACCAAATGGCAGGGCCGTTATCAGACACTATTGGCCCGGGTTCAGCACCCATCTGGAGCCGTCAGTGCCCAGAGCTGTCAGTGCCCAGTGCAGAGGGCTTGCCATCCATTGAGGCCTTCTCAACTGGGCCAGCATGTTTACCCCACTGCCCCCATCCCCCCGCCCCTTCCCCTCCCCATGGGGCTTAATCCTGCCAGGGTGGAGAGCCAACAGCCGCTCCAGAGACAATACCTCCTGCTGTCAGCCGCATGAGATCACTGCTGCACCCATGTGCCCTGGCCAGACCATCTCTCCTCTCTTCTCCTTCTCCTCCGTTCAGCCTTCCCTTCTGCAGGGACAGACAGGGCTCTGACCCCGGAGAGGATAGCTTTGTCCCCTGTGAAGGGGGGAGCAGAGGTTATCATCAGCTGGACCGGGGAGAAGGGTAGGGCTAGTGGGGTTATTAGCTGGACCATAGGAGATTATGAGAGTGTGGTCTCTGAGGGTGGTGAATTCAGAGAACTGTGTTGGACTCACAAACAGCCCCATGCCAGTTTAGTCCTTACAGGACAGCCTTGCAGCCTTCACTCTGAGGTCCTACATGAGTAAATGTTTTTTGTTGTCCCAGGTGGCCCGGCGATCCCTCCATAGGCCGGCGGTGGTACTACGCCTCTCCAGGCTGCAGGTTCTGGATGGAGTGATGGTCACCCTGGAGGAGAGGACCAGGGCTGAGCTACTCTGCACAGAGGTCCAGGTGAGAGCTTATTGACTGAGAAATATACAAACAGAGTAATGGTACTGCCTTTGTATATCACTTGGTTGGTAAGAGCTTTGTCTTCTTAGCTGCAGTGGTCTGCAGGAGAAGATACAGTTATCTCCATGCCTTATGAGACTGACCTAAAAAGCCATAAAGGCCTCATTTCTGTCAAAGGCCAGATAACGGGCCATATCATGTCAACTGCAATGCAACTTGAAATCAAACAGCGGACAGAAAAACAACAACCAAACAGCAACTACCAAAAAACAAGGATCAAATTCTCCCAGTTTGTCTCCCTGATTTGATCTGCACATAACGAGAGACGGGGGCAGTAATGCTCCTCCAGTGCTGAATTAAAAGCAGCCTAAGCCAGCTCAGTTCATCCTGCTGATTAGATGAAATGTGCACGACCGATAATGCACCAATGGATTTGCCCCCCTATTAGCTGGGTCAACCCGGCCCCCTGTGCTCGTTAAGAGAGTATTTGGGAACGAGAGAGAGAGAGGGATCCTGGGCTTTCTCATTAAAAACATAAATACACAACCCTCTTTCCGCTCTTGTCCCCCATCCCTCTCATTTCAGGCTTATTCCTGCTCTCACCCGCCTCTTGTTTTTGTTTTCATTCAACAGTTGTTATTATTATTGAGTGATCATTATCATTCTCTTATTAGATTTCTACACGTGATGAAAGACAGTAGAAATTTGGTCATCCATACTGTAACGTGGGTGTAGCAGAGACTAGCTATGGCGGGTGCAGTGAGGCAGGAAGCGTAGATAGGAGGCAATGCAGGACATATTAATGACATTTTAGTCATTTAGCAGACGCTCTTATCCAGAGCAACTTACAATTAGTGAGTGCATACATTTTTCATACTGGCCCCCCGTGGGAATCGAACCCACAACCCTGGCGTTGCAAGCGCCATGCTCTACCAACTGAGCTACAGGAGGCCCGAGGTCAGAGAGACTTGAGACAGTGTTGCTAACGTGTCCCCATGTGCACTTATTATGGACACCTGTTAATATCACCTGACTCAAAGTAGCTTTGTGTATACAGGATATCCTCTCTTGTGGTATAGTATTGGTGTGGTATTCACTGTCCCTCCCTCTCTCCCCACAGTGCCCCATGGCTCCTGGATCTGGCATGGATATGAACCTGCCTGGCCTGCTGCCCCTCATGTCCCGGACTGCCCCTCTGCGGGGGACCAGTCTAAGTGGAGGACTGCAGCTGCAGCACTTCCTGGGTCACGAGATCCTGATGCCCTGCAACTTGGATGAAGCACTGCCCCACGACACGCCCAAACGTTAGTTAGCACTCCCTCTTATCTGTCACACACACGGCACATCCGCACAGTGCATCATGATATCCTCATCAATATTAATCAAATACCAACATTATAATCTAAAAGTGTCTGGTTAAGGGGAACACTTACAGTTGAAGTCGGAAGTTTACATACACTTAGGTTGGAGTCATTAAAACTTGTTTTTCAACCACTCCACACATTTCTTGTTAACAAACTATAGTTTTGGCAAGTCGGTTAGGACATCTACTTTGTGCATGACACAAGTAATGTTTCCAACAATTGTTTACAGACAGATTATTTCACTTATAATTCACTGTATCACAATTCCAGTGGGTCAGAAGTTTACATACAGTGGGGAAAAAAAGTATTTAGTCAGCCACCAATTGTGCAAGTTCTCCCACTTAAAAAGATGAGAGAGGCCTGTAATTTTCATCATAGGTACACGTCAACAATGACAGACAAATTGAGAAAAAAAATTCCAGAAAATCCCATTGTAGGATTTTTAATGAATTTATTTGCAAATTATGGTGGAAAATAAGTATTTGGTCACCTACAAACAAGCAAGATTTCTGGCTCTCACAGACCTGTAACTTCTTCTTTAAGAGGCTCCTCTGTCCTCCACTCGTTACCTGTATTAATGGCACCTGTTTTAACTTGTTATCAGTATAAAAGACACCTGTCCACAACCTCAAACAGTCACACTCCAAACTCCACAATGGCCAAGACCAAAGAGCTGTCAAAGGACACCAAAAACAAAATTGTAGACCTGCACCAGGCTGGGAAGACTGAATCTGCAATAGGTAAGCAGCTTGGTTTGAAGAAATCAACTGTGGGAGCAATTATTAGGAAATGGAAGACATACAAGACCACTGATAATCTCCCTCGATCTGGGGCTCCACGCAAGATCTCACCCCGTGGGGTCAAAATGATCACAAGAACGGTGAGCAAAAATCCCAGAACCACACGGGGGGACCTAGTGAATGACCTGCAGAGAGCTGGGACCAAAGTAACAAAGCCTACCATCAGTAACACACTACGCCGCCAGGGACTCAAATCCTGCAGTGCGAGACGTGTCCCCCTGCTTAAGCCAGTACATGTCCAGGCCCGTCTGAAGTGCATTTGGATGATCCAGAAGAGGATTGGGAGAATGTCATATGGTCAGATGAAACCAAAATATAACTTTTTGGTAAAAACTCAACTCGTCATGTTTGGAGGACAAAGAATGCTGAGTTGCATCCAAAGAACACCATACCTACTGTGAAGCATGGGGTTGGAAACATCATGCTTTGGGGCTGTTTTTCTGCAAAGGGACCAGGACGACTGATCCGTGTAAAGGAAAGAATGAATGGGGCCATGTATCGTGAGATTTTGAGTAAAACCCTCCTTCCATCAGCAAGGGCATTGAAGATGAAACGTGGCTGGGTCTTTCAGCATGACAATGATCCCAAACACACCGCCCGGGCAACGAAGGAGTGGCTTCGTAAGAAGCATTTCAAGGTCCTGGAGTGGCCTAGCCAGTCTCCAGATCTCAACCCCATAGAAAATCTTTGGAGGGAGTTGAAAGTCTGTGTTGCCCAGCGACAGCCCCAAAACATCACTGCTCTAGAGGAGATCTGCATGGAGGAATGGGCCAAAATACCAGCAACAGTGTGTGAAAACCTTGTGAAGACTTACAGAAAACATTTGACCTGTGTCATTGCCAACAAAGGGTATATAACAAAGTATTGAGAAACTTTTGTTATTGACCAAATACTTATTTTCCACCATCATATGCCAATAAATTCATAAAAAATCCTACAATGTGATTTTCTGGAAATTTTTTTCTCATTTTGTCTGTCATAGTTGACGTGTACCTATGATGAAAATTACAGGCCTCTCTCATCTTTTTAAGTGGGAGAACTTGCACAATTGGTGGCTGACTAAATACTTTTTTTCCCCACTGTACACTAAGTTGACTGCCTTTAAACAGCTTGTAAAATTCCAGAAAAGGATGTCATGGTTTTAGAAGCTTCTGATAGGCTAATTGACATCATTTGAGTCAATTGGAGGTGTACATGTGGATGTATTTCAAGGCCTAACTTCAAACACAGTGCCTCTTTGCTTGACATCATGGGAAAATCAAAAGAAATCAGCCAAGTAATATAATTGTAGACCTCCACAAGTCCGGTTCATCCTTGGGAGCAATTTCCAAATGCCTGAAGGTACCACGTTCATCTGTACAAACAATAGTACGCAAGTATAAACACCATGGGACCACGCAGCCGTCATACCGCTCAGGAAGGAGACGCGTTCTGTCTCCTAGAGATACAAATCAATCCCAGAACAACAGCAAAGGACCTTGTGAAGATGCTGGAGGAAACAGGTACAAAAGTATCTATATCCACAGTAAAACGAGTCCTATATCGACATAACCTGAAAGGCCGCTCAACAAAGAAGAAGCCACTGCTCCAAAACCACCATAAAAAAGACAGACTACGGTTTGCAACTGCACATGGGAACAAAGATCGTACTTTTTGGAGAAATGTCCTCTGGTCTGATGAAACAAAAATAGAACTGTTTGGCCATAATGACCATCGTTATGTTTGGAGGAAAAGGGGGTTGCTTGCAAGCCGAAGAACACCATCCCAACCGTGAAGCACGGGGGTGGCAGCATCATGCTGTGGGGGTGCTTTGCTGCAGGAGGGACTGGTGCACTTCACAAAATAGATGGCATCATGAGGAAGGAAAATGATGTGGATATATTGAAGCAACATCTCAAGACATCAGTCAGGAAGTTAAAGCTTGGTCGCAAATGGGTCTTCCAAATGGACAATGACCCCAAGCATACTTCCAAAGTTGTGGCAAAATGGCTTAAGGACAACAAAGTCAAGGTATTGGAGTGGCCACCACAAAGCCCGGATCTCAATCCTATAGAACATTTGTGGGCAGAACTGAAAAAGCATGTGCGAGCAAGGAGGCCTACAAACCTGACTCAGTTACACCAGCTCTGTCAGGAGGAATGGGCCAAAATTTACCCAACTTATTGTAGGAAGCTTGTGGAAGGCTACCCGAAACATTTGACCCAAGTTAAACAATTGAAAGGTAATACTACCAAATACTAATTGAGTGTATGTAAACTTCTGACCCACTGGGAATGTGATTAAATAAATAAAAGCTTAAATAAATAATTATCTCTACTATTATTCTGACATTTCACATTCTTAAAATAAAGTGGTGATCCTAACTGACCTAAGACAGGGAATTTTTACTAGGATTAAATGTCAGGAATTGTGAAAAACTGAGTTTAAATGTATTTGGCTAAGGTGTATGTAAACTTCCGACTTCAACTATATGTTTCATTCACCTCCATGATTGGCAGAGCTGTTAACCAACACAGAGAACAAACGTCTCTTTCGCTCTCTCTCTTTGGCTATGCTATGGGACTCATTAGGCTTGGTTATCCACTCATTAGGGTTTGACACTCTCATCCTGTCAGAGGCACCACTTTAATCCACACAACTGTGTTAATTCCCATCTCAGACAAGAAGCAAAAACACAGCAGTGCTGCCAACCATGTCCGCAGTGCCCAGGTAGAGATGACGTTTAGGCAGATCAGAGGAACGGCAAGCACCCTGCCATCCACCGGCCTCCTTCCTAACGGGTACAGGGTCCTCATCACCAACCCCAACCAGGAGCAGGACAGCAGGTGGGTAAAGTCCTAAACTCAGACCCTTGGGTTGTAGTGAGTAAACCTAGTTTGGTCTTGAGGTCAGAGGTCAGTGTTCTAGAGGGGAGGATACACTGTAAAACCCTATCTGTATGCTTGCTTTTCTTTTACAGATACCAGAGTGGTGGTGCTCCTAAACCCCCGCCCATGTAGGACCCCAGGGGTTTTGGCAGAGGAACGGGGGACACTACTGTGGGCACGAGGAAGTAGAGAAATGGGAGGATACTCCTGTGTGGGTCATTGCACACATGCAGAGTAAGAGTGGGAAGTATTGTTCAGCTGAATTCGGTTCACTTCTGCTCCATAGACTGTAGATTAGTGAATTGCGGATAACCCTCTTTCCTTTAGTTTGTCTATTTATAAATGTACACTGAACAAAAATATGAACTCAACATGTAAAGTGTTGGTCCAATGTTTCATGAGCTGAAATAAAAGATCCCAGAAATTTTCCATATGCACAAAAAGCTTATTTTTCTCAAATGTTGTGCACAAATTTGTTTACATCCCTGTTGGTGAGCATTTCTCCTTTGCCAAGATAATCCATCCACCTGTCAGGTGTGGCATATCAAGAAGCTGGTCAAACAGCATGATCATTACACACGTGCACCTTGTGCTGGGGACAATAAAAGGCCACTCTAAAATGTGCAGATTTGTCACACAACACAATTCCACAGATGTCTCAAGTTTCGAGGGAGCGTGCAATTGGCATGCTGACTGCAGGAATGTCCACCAAAGCTGTTGTAAGAGAATTGAATGTTCATTTCTCTACCATAAGCCGCCTCCAATGTCGTTTTAGAGAATTTGGCAATACGTCCAACCGGCCTCACAACCGCAGACCACGTGTATTGGGTCGTGTGGGCGAGCGGTTTGCTGATATCAACGTTGTGAACAGAGTGCCCCATGGTGGCGGTGGGGTAATGGTATGGGCAGGCATAAGCTACGGACAACAAACACGATTGCATTTTATCTATGGCAATTTGAATGCACAAAAATACCGTGACGAGATCCTGATGCCCATTGTGAGGCCCATTTTATTTAAGGTATCTGTGACCAATAGATGCATATCTGTATTCCCAGTTATGTGAAATTCAAAGAGTAGGGCATGATGAATGTATGTCAATTGACTGATTTCCTCATATGAACTGTAACTCAGTAAAATCTTTGAAATTGTTGCATGTTGCATTTATATTTTTGTTCAGTATATTTACTTTTGTGACAAAATATGAAACATGAACTGCTGTATGCTTTGTCAAAATATATGTGATGTCTATACTTTATTTTTATTTTAATTTTCACAAACACGGTCAGGGCCAATGAGCTGATGATACTTGAAAAGAGATATATACAGTATCCCCATGTTAGGAGAGTGTGGCATGAACAACAGCCTCTTTCTATCCACGACTGTTATTCTCCAACCAGTGACCACTGTAATCTATTTAATACTGTGAGGTTTGGAGTCATGTCCATTACACTCCTTTCCTTGCCTCCAAAAAAATCTAAAACATGCACAGATGCAAGGGCGTGTGAGGCTGGCATGTTGTGTTCATCGGGTCAAATGGATCCCCAACAAGTGGATAATCCAGGATTAGCACACCTCTCTGTGGACAATAATCTGCAGTCACTCAGATGGAGCTATAATCTTGAATGAGATCCAAATGGATTGCAGAGATCTGTCAGTTTCAGCATGTTAGCCTCTTTTTTAAAAGGCCCACTCTGGTTTTCCCTCTAATAGGCAACTCTCATGGACTGTTACTGCAAATAAACCAGTGATCTCTGAAAGTTGGCCATTCGGGTGATGTGAGATCTGATTTAATTTACCATCATTGCTGTATTCATGTTACTGTAGCCCAGTATTAGAAAGTTTAACAGAAACAAGACTCCTCTGATAAGTACAGTATTAGCACTGAATCAGGTATGCCCTCTGTGCCCCGAGCTAATGATGTTAACCAACATGAAGTGAAAGTGTTAGTTTCCCACACATCCAGTCAGAGTTGGGGAGTAACTGAATACATGTGATCTATTACATGTAATCCGATTACAAAAAAACGAACTGTAATCAGTTACGTTACCAGCAAGAAAAAATGTTATCAGATTACAGATACTTTTGAAAAACTAGATGATTACTTCTTGGATTACCTTTAAATTCAGAAAGAATGTTTGCGAAAAAATGTACGTTACTTATTACAATTGTGGACAGGTAACTAGTAATTTTGACAGATTACATTTAGAAAGTAATCCACCCAACCCTGCACCCAGTGGTGCCATTGTGACCACTAGGTGTCCCTAGAGCTCCATACGCCTTGCTGTCAGTGAGTCCACTGGAAATTATCTTCCACTGAGTAACACATTGATTCAAGGCCAGGTTGAGTCGATGTTCAGTAATGCCCTAGGTTATGCTCACAGCTAACGTGACCTGTTCAAAACGTATGGAACAACAACCAGTTCCTGCAAGAGTGGAATGCTCTGTCCTCTAAAGAGCTCCTCCAATGCATGTACTTAACTTCACTCAATTAGTGTTAATTCCCAGCATTAAGCAGGGCTAATGACTGAGCGAGTGAGTGCACTGTCATTACCTTACTTTGCTTGACATCAAATGGCAGCTGATGACTCTCACTGAAAAGCACAGTAATGCACAGATTTGGGGCTTGATGAGAGTGCTCTAATGCATTAGATATTGCAATGGATAATTTCAGGACTCATTTCAGCAGGGGCGCAACTTTGGTTTTAGAAGTGGGGGGGACATTAAAAAAAGGGGGGTAGATCAGCTTTAATATTGCAGATAGATTGTGGCTTCCATCAATGTAATTGTCTGCATCATTTCCAATCCCCCATATATTTTTTTGTAAATATATACAGTACCAGTCAAAAGTTTGGACACACCTACTCATTCAAGGGTTTTTCTTTATTTTTACTATTTTCTACATTGTAGAATAATAGCGAAGACATCAAAACTATGAAATAACACATATGGAATCATTTAGTAACCAAAAAAGTGTTAAACAAATCAAAATATATTTTATTTTTTAGATTCTTCAAAGTAGCCACCCTTTGCCTTGATGACAGCTTTGCACACTCTTGGTATTCTCTCAACCAGCTTCATGAGGTAGTCACCTGGAATGCATTTCAATTAACTGGTGTGCCTTTTTAAAAGTTAATTTGTAGATTTTCTTTCCTTCTTAATGCGTTTGAGCCAATCAGTTGTGTTGTGACAAGGTAGGGGGGGTATGCAGAAGATAGCCCTATTTGGTAAAAGATCAAGTCCATATTATGGCAAGAACAGCTCAAATAAGCAAAGAGAAACGACGGTCCATCATTACTTTAAGACATGAAGGTCAGTCAATCAGGAAAATGTCAAGAACTTTGAAGGTTTCTTCAAGTGCGGTCGAAAAACCATCAAGCGCTATGATGAAACTGGCTCTCATGAGGACCGCCACAGGGAAGGAAGACCCAAAGTTCATTAGAGTTAACTGCACCTCAGATTGCAGCCCAAATTGGAGTAAACTAATGGAAAACAACACTTAGGCTTCTACTTCCAGCTTACATACTATATACATTTTAAGGACACAGTATATTTTACAATAGTTATCTTTTGTTTGTTTTTAATCCCATCCTTCAGCTCCACTCAACCCCTCCCATCTATCTCTGAACACCATCCAGTTTTGATTTATATTTTAAATATATTTTTTCAACTGTGCTGTGATGTTGCACAAAAGTTCTGAACCTTTCTATTCTCATAGATTCTACATATTGTAAATTAAAACATTTTTTTTTTGCTAAGAGTATTATATTATTGATCGATTGACTATGACTTTTTAAATCACCCAACAGTGCTATTTGCAGAGGGGGACATAACTTGGCAGGGGGTCTGGGGGTCCTCCCATTTTTTTGGGCATCTAAAACACATTTCTTGCATTTCTACACAATCTAATATGACCGATTCAGAGGGGTTGGGTTAAATGCTGAAGAAACATTTCAGTTGAATGCATTCAGTTGTACAACTGAGTAGGTATCCCCCTTTCCCATGGCCCTTCTAGCCGTCTCTATTTAGAACATCAAAAAGTAAGCAAAAATGCCCACAGTCATCAAGCTAGGTAAGAGATTATTAAATATGTTTAAGTGATTGATAAGACTGAACTAGATCCGTGATAATTCAATAGTCAATACTGTGTTGCACCTTTAACCAATAGCCTAACAAATTAACAACTCTTACAAATAAAGTACAAAGACCACTTTTAATTGTCTTTAAGACATCCTCTATATCACATTTCAGCCAGACCGCCCAGCCAACCCGAGCCGCCAACACGCCCGAACCCCACCAGTCTAGTCAATAACTCAACTCTCTCCCCAACACAACTTCCTTCCCATCTTATTTTTTATGTCTCAAGGGAAAGGTTTGGAAAACAAAAGTTGAATGAAAACACACATACACCTACACATTAACACACAGAAACAGTACACCCTCCATATAATTCATATCATAGGCCTAATAGTTTTGTAGAGCTCTTTTTACTTGCACACTATGGCTGGGTCACCCCGTCCTGCCCCTAGGGGTCCATGGCCCTGTAGTGCCCCAACCCAACACACCCCACTCAGCTTTAGGATCTTAGTGAAACATTGATTATTGGTTTCAGGTATGTTAGGCCAAGGCCAGAGTGACAACAGTACAGCAGACCCCCAGCGCCAGGACTGAGCAGCCCAGCACCTAGGGATTGCCTAAATCTCCCCTGAGGTGGGCATGTTTTCAATACAGACTCCTTTTTTTTGTACAGTATTTCATATAAGGCATACAGACCTTATGAAAGTTGCACAGTATACCCTTAATCTTAAAACAAATCTAGTGATACTGTACATAACTTGACATTTCTTTCATACATTGTGGGAGGATAACCAACCTTCCAATTAATGGCAATGCATTTATTAGCCACTATAAATGCTAGGTTACACAGTTTCTTCTGATAACAGTCTCCAGTATCAACATTTCCAAGCAAACAAAAACAGGGCGAAGGGAGAATCTGTAGACATGCTGAGATAAAAGAACATACACTTTGCCAGAATTCAGCCAGCCTTCACAAGACCACAACATATGCAAATATGTCCCCTTTTTTGCTTTACACCTCCAGCAGAAAAATACAATTTCTGAGTGCATGATATTC